TGAGTGTTTGGATTTAGTTAGAGGGTTAGTTAGTTCGGTCAGTGTTTGACGTTGGATTGGGGTTATAGGAGTGATTGGGTGTAGTTGGCGCGTTGTGACGTGCATTTGGCTTAGTATTGTTTCTCGAACGTCTTTCCGATGTTCCGTACGTTTTTCCCACATTAATGAAGGTACTTCACTGCGTGCCCTGGCCGTGGTAACAGAGCAAGTGTCAAGAAAGGCTGACATTCTAGAACACTCGGAATCTCGTTAGGACTATCCTCAGCCAAAATACTCCAAACGTTTGCTCATAATGTTTGTTGACTTCTGCCGTCTGACGCAGTAGCTCGATGGTGGTGCATTGCTGCTCTCGGCGAGGACACTTCCCCACTTTTGTTAATACCAACTTTATCCTCACAAGCCTTAGTTAATAAGGATGATGGCGTGTATTTAGCCATTGACCACTAAAGTCATAAGATGCATTTTGTCCTCGGTGGTTGCAATTCCGGGGAATTGTCGTGACACGAAAGAATAGGACGTGCATTACTTGCCCTTTTGATATCATACAACACAAACTCAGGTGTAATTTTATACTTAGATTAATCAGTAACATGTCATTTGTTCGGACTATCTGTCCGCCAGTTTTTCCCGATTGTGCATTTAGCATAATTTCATTTAAGGTGCGGGCCGATGTGATTAGTTTAGGTTTGAGGCTTAGGGTCGAGTTATGGTTGACGTTATGATTCAATTGAGATGCTATGGGTTGTATTAGGTTAGGTTAGGGAGTAGAGTTAGTGTTACGGGGTTAGGTTAGGGTTAGGGTGTAGTTAGGGTTTGAATATGGGGTTAAGGGTTAGATTTACGGTGAGGTGAGTTAGGTGAGTTAAATGACAGTATCGTTAGGGTTAGGTTAGTGTTCGTATATGGTTACGGGCGTTTGCTCGTGAGCCACGTCACTTGGATATTTCTTCTCGTTTGTAAATTCATTGGGCAACCTCTCTCTCTCTCGTCTGCTCTCTCTCTCCTCTCTCTTCCTCTTCCTCTCTCTCGCTCTCTCTCTCTCTCTATTCTCTCTCTCTCTCTTCTCTCTCTCTCTTCTCTCCTCTCTCTCTCTCTTCTCTCTCTGTTCCGCTCTCGCTCTGCTCTCTTCTCTCTCACTCTCTCTCTCTCTCCTTTCTCGTCCCCTCTCTTCTCTTCTCGCTCTCTCTCTCTCTCTCTCTCTCTGGCGGCCTGTGTGTGCGCCGCGCGCGCGCCGCGCGTTGTGGGTGGTGTGTTGTGTGTGTGTGTGTTGTGTGTGTGCGCGGCGAGGCCCGTAATTGTCGCTCTGTGCGTGTGCGTGCGCGTGCGCGTGCGTGTGCGTGTGCGTGTGCGTGTGCGTCGTGCGTGTGTCATGCCCGTGGTGCGTAGTGGTGTGCGTGTGCCGTTGTGCGTGTCTGTGTGGTGTGTTGTGTGTATGTGAGGCATCAGTGCGCAGCCTTCGGTGCATTGCGCGCGGCGTGCGTGCGTGTTGGCGCCGCAGTTCGGGCATGCGTGGTGCGTGTACGTGTGCGTGTGCGGTGGCGTGCGTGAGTGGTGGTGTTCATCGTGGCGCGTCCCCTGCCAAGCGGCGCGTGCTTGTAGTTGGGAAGCGCGGTAGGCGGCCGCAGCGGAGAGTACGTCGGTGGCAGCCGTGCCGGTGGCGGTATTGGTCTCAAGTAGCGGATTAGCCGTGTTACGCGCCGCCGCGGGATCCGCCGCTGATCACCGTCGCCGCTGTGAGTGAGCGAAGCCAGCCGCTGCCGCCGCCGTCACCGCGGCACGCCGCGCGCGCGCTCTGTACAACTCTTCTTTCCCGCGCTCATCGGCGATGCTAGCCGCTCCCGGCGTGCGTTAATTAGCCGTAATCATGCAACACAATACATGACAGATAGGCGCGGAAAAACCCGGCTCGCGCTTTCATGTCGGTTGGTGCGCGCCGCGCGCCTGTTTATGCCGCAGCTCGGGCCGGGTAACCCTACCGACGCGACATCTGCTTCCCGTTAGCGGCGTGCGTTTTTTATTTCTCTCGCGATGCCATCAATTGCGCGCTGCGGCGGCGTTTGCACGCTACGACGGCATGGCAAAGTATCTGACGGGCCCCGTGCGCTCAGCCGTGCACGGAACTCATGTTCCTCCGCAGAAGCCACCGGTGCGTGTGCGCGCGCGTCGGTACAGCGCGTCTGCTCCCAGCCGTGACTGCGCCGCCGGCGATCGCGGCGCAGTCACCGGGATTCGAACCGGCGCGGGCGAGAGTACGCGAATATGGCACGGGCGAGAGTACGTGAATATGGCGCGGGCGATGGGTCGTCGAGCCTTTGCTCGGGTTTCGCTGGTTTGATGACGAACGTGGTCGAGACTCGGTTAAGATGTTAAATGTGCTTTCCTGTGCGTCTATACAAATCTGCGAAATCTACTACTTGAACCATAGCGAACTCCGTGTAAATAACGAGTTTAAATACAATAAATGTTATAAGAAATGAGTGGAATTACTTAGAATTACTCAATCCTCACAAATTAAAACTTGAAAGAAAATTTATACTCGAAAATTGCGTCTAGGCGTGCGGATTTTATAGAGGGCGGCAGATGCACGTGAACCGTATCAATAATAAAGTGAGACAGTAAATAAATACGAATTAAATTTGCTACCAAAGTTTTGATATTTATTTACTCTTACATCGCTCTAGCCTCACGTTATCTCAAACGAGTCTGTGCTCAGTGGCGTGTGTGCGCTAATATTGTGCGTTGAATAGTATTAATTGAACAGTATTTACGTGGAATTATTAGGCGATATAAAATACATAAACATTAAAACTTGGGCAATAAACATAATTCGCATGTATTTTATCTGTAGAACGGACCAAGTGACTGGCAATGCCCGGAATCAATGTGGGTAACAGCAGCGACACCTCTCGAGAAATAAATGAGGAGCGACAAACACAAAATCACCGCTTAGACCCGCGTACCGTAAATTACACCACATGAGTGCGTTAATGGACAAATATCTGCACATAGGCCGATAATTAGTCCATGAAATTATATTTGTGTTTAGCATGCAGGTATGGGCAAGCATAAATGGTCAACCTTAAAATAATTAACTTTTGCTAGATTTTCAGCGTGGCGTCATTTTGTAATGTGTTGTGAAAGCCGAATGTGTGTATACCCGATGCCGCCTGCATATTACATTACTTTCCTAATCCCAAATAGTTATTGTTGCGCTACCCAAGGATACACAAAGCGATTATGTGCGTATGCACGCGCACGTGCGCGCGTGCGTGTTTGTGCACGCGCGTGCGTGCGTGCATGCGCGTGTTTGTTCGTTTGGGGAAGATGTCAGGAAGGAGCCTTGTGTGGGCGTGCGGCTGTGAGTGCGCGAGTGTGCATATAGCGTTT